AATTCTGTGTTCAAGAGTATTACTTAGGTTTGTCATTTTATTTTCCCATTTAGTCTAATTATGGGATTAACTTTGCAATATAGTTAGTTTCATTTGTTTTGTTTTATTCTATTTTGCTTTATTCCCCACCCTCTTCTATTTATTTTTAGTAGGTAAAAGAAAACATAGCCAAACTATACCATTAAATGCACTCATCTCCTCATCTTTTCTACCCCATTCTACCCACCTACTGTAGGTAAGCAATCTCACTAGTTTCTGATTTATTCTTCTTGTGTTTCTTTTTTCTCAAATGGGCAGATATATGTATGTTTTCTTTCCCCTTCACTTTTATACAAAAAGTAGCATGCTATAGATGCTTTATAACATTGTTTTATTGCCTTTAACAAAATAACCTGGAATGCCTCCATATTGATTCATAGATATATTTGTCATTATTTTTTCACAGCTGCAAAACACTCAATTGAATTGACATTCCATAGAGTTTCCTTTTGAAGTCCTTGAATAAGAGGTAGTGGTGATGAATGTACTAAATGCTACTGAATTGTATACCTCAAATGGTTAAAACTATAAATTTCTTGTTATGTATACTATTCTACAATAAAAAAATTTTAAACAGAAAGGAAGAAGTAATCTCAACATAAAGCACAGAAAAGAATTATAAAATAATAATATATGATTAATAAGTTAAAGGAAGGTGAATGGAATAATAAAATATATATTTAATTAATCAAAAGGGAGAAAGAGAAGAGAGAACAAAAACTAAACAGATGTCTCAAATAGAAACTGTATAGTAATACGGAAAATATAGATTCAAATATATCATGATTACATTAAATGAAAGTAGATCAAATTCTCCAGAAATGTAATGATTGTAGATCCAAATAAAAAGAGCAAAACCCATGTTTACACTGTTAACCACGGACAGCTCAAAAATATAAGGACATAGAAAACTTTAAAGTAAAGTGATGGAAAAGAAGCACCATGTAAACACTAACCGAAAGAAAGCTTGTATATCTATACTAACATCAGAAGAAGTAGATGAGACGTTAAGGGAGGAGTCAGGGATAGAGATAATGAGAAATATTTCCTAATTATAATCTCCTAATTATAAGTTCAGTGGTGTGCTATTAAAGAAATAAAAAATGGCTCTCTCTCTTTTTTTTTTACAAAGTCGTGCTTTGTAGCATTTGCCAATTTCCATAGTTTCAGTATTCCCATTGTGGTGAATTCAGTCTACCAACATGATGACTTTGAATGTAGAGTTGGGAAGAAATGTGCACCCTCAGCTTCAAACCAATGCCAGCCAGCTTCAGCAAACCACTACGTAAAAGAATCAGTCCATCGGAAGCAGATTATGATGCTAAATCTGTGTGTCCTAAATAACATAGTATAAAAAAATGTGTAAGCAAAAACTGACATAACTAAAAGCCGAAAAACACAAATCCACAATCATGAGTGTGTGAGACATTTTGCATAAGATTTTGCAAATATCTTATAAGAGATGATAAGCACACAGAAAACAATTAACTAGGGATACAGAGTATTTAACAATCCAAGTAGAAAACTTGATCTAGTTGACATATTAACAAGGCTATACATAACAATAGAAAGTGTATTTTTTTAAAGTTCTATGGAGTTGTCAACCATATGATAATTTTAGGAGATACATCTCAAAGTGCTCATGACTGTAATAAGAGGATTTAGTGATTGCCTCTTAAAGAAGTTAGCCCTATTGACAAATATTTCTAGGGCCTGTTTTACATCTCTATTCTTCAGGCTAAAGATGAAGCATTTCAGCATGGGGGTAACTATTGCATGCATGACCAAAGCAATTATGAGTTTGTCATTGGATTCCTATGATAAGGAGAAAAAGTAAACACCTGCAAGGGTCCCATAGTATAAAGACATCACAAAGAGATGGGATCCACAGATAGAAAAGGCTTTAAAAAATCTCTTGGTGGAGGGGACCCTCAAGACAGCAGTCCGTATATGGATATATGAGCCCAAGATACTAATCAAAGGCATCATGAGGAGCATTCCTCACATGGTGAATATGATCAGTGCACTGGGAAAGATGTTGGAGCAGCTCATCTTCAGGAGAGCAGGGATGTTACAGAGGAAGTGGAAGATGATATTGTGAGCACAAGACAATTAGGCCAAGAGGAGGATGGGCAACAAGCCATGGATACAACAGAAGAACCAAGACCAGCTGCTAATAAGATACACACAACCTGCCTCATGATGGTGGTGTAGTGGAGAGACTGAAAGATGGCCACATACCTATCATATGCCATCACGACAAGAAGGAATTGTCAAGACAACCAAAATCTATGAAAATATACATCTGAGAAATGCACCCAACATAGGGGATGGATTTCTGCATGTTTGTGTGAATCTTTGGAACCATAGTAGTTGAAAGGGAAACGCCAGAGAAGGCCCAGCAGCTGAGGAAGAAGAAATACATGGGAGTGTGGAGGTGAGAGTCCAGCCTGATGAACAGGATGATGGGCAGGTTCCGCATAACCACAGTCAGGTACGTGCCTAGGAACAGGGTGAAGACCAGGCCTTGCTGCTCTGGCCAGATACAGAACCCCAGGGGGAGGACATCAGACATGCTGCTCTGGTTGTCAGGCCTCGTACTGCTCTTCTATATGCTGAGGATGAAGAAGGTTTTGGATTCTCAGAAACCTAGAAAGGATGATCAGGACCATCACATGTCATACTGTAATTTTCTGGTAAAACAATGAATTTTTAAATACACTCATTAATTTCTCACACCTGTGGATGCATGCATCTTTGCTCCATCCCATTCTGGCTTCAGGGAAACATCACACCCAAAAGCAGCCAGCAAGATCTCGCTGCTCAGAAAAAAGAAGGTGTTCATTGTTTCATTCAACCATTGTTTACTGAATATTGAGTCTGAACATGGACCTCTACTAGGGACTGAGAGTGCAGCAGTGAACAGAAAGTCATGGTCCCTGCCCTCTGTGACTGTAGATCTTGATGAGCATAGAGAGATAATTTACAACATCAAGACAGAGCCAAACCATAATAATTCACTGTGGCAGAAATAGTAGGTGAGCCTCCACAAACTGGTATCATTTGTTTCTGCTTTAAAGTAACGTGGGACACCAGTGCTGAGACAGCATTGTTGAAGGGTTGTCACACTCCCTCGTGTGAATTTGGCTGGGTCCCCATCACTGAGAGCTATAAACTCATGGTCACTCTAGAAGTGGCTGGTCATTTAAAACTGTTTGATGCCAGAATAGCTCCCAAACCAGAATTGTCCACGTACTATCTTTTACAAGAACGCTGAATATTTTGGTGAGCATTTGAGTACTAGGCCAAGGACTTTACCTACATTTCCCAATTAAATCTACACAGGAAAACTTCCCCCATCATTGGTTAGGAGGGCCAGGCACTATGTGTTGATTTATGGCTGCAAAGAAGCCAAATCATTCAAAATGTTCTTAGATCTCTGCCTATTTCTTATAATTGATGTTGATCTATTTTACAATTGACAAAAGACTCTCACATTCAATATCATTTATTGAAACAATAAATATTTATGGAGGGCCTGTAACTTTCATGAGGCAAGTATAATTCCTTCCAATTTTTAGATTGAAACCTGAGGCCAAGGAGTGAAGTGATTTTCTCAAGTTCTCAATGCCAAGGAGTGGAGTGATTTTTTCAAGTTCTCAATGCCATTTGCTGGGGGTTCTGCACTGTAATGTCACACAGCATGACGCCTAATGTACCTCTGCCTGTTACATTAAGTGAAGATTTAAAACACTCTGATTGACTCAGTCACACTAAAGTATATGAAAATCAATGCAGATCCATTTCAGAAACGGGGAGTTGCTTGGAGCTAAGTTTATCTCTATCAATCGTGCTCCAGAGGAAAGTAATGAAGGAAATATTTGAGTCTTGGGGAAAATCAGAAGCCCCCAAACACACATACAAATCACACACAGACACACATAAACACACACACACACATTACTGATTTAGAGATTCCAGTCACCTGTGACCAGTTTCCTTCCTAAGGGAAGGATAGCCAATATGTGGTTCAGGTCCTAAACATCATATACATACATGAAGGTCATAAATAACATGCAAAGTGAGATACACAAGACACAACGATGTACCATTCACCCACAAACACACTCACAATGCACATCAACACACCTGACACAAGACACACCTGGACTTTACTAAAACTAAACATTACAAAGTTTACTGAATATATGTAGGTTTGGAAAACAATAGACAAGAAAGAGGAAATGAGCAGCTGATTTATATCTCATTTACTTCAACAGATAGAAACTTTGAGTGATAATTAAAATCTATATTACCTATTGCTGAGTAGAATTTTTTTAACCTATCAAAACAATGTTCCACAAAACTTAAACTGGCTCTGCTTGAGGGTCCAAATGTACACTTCATTATAGATAAAGTGAGGCACCATAACACAGTTGAGAATTATGACCTTCTACCACCTGGGAGTCAGAAACTCAGGGTGTGAGAAGGTACAGCTTAGTCCAAAAGACAATCACATTTCATACCTCTGACATTGGCCTAAGACAAAATTGGTCTATCTTTAAGAAAGAAGCATAAAATGCCATTTCCATGTTTTTCTTTTGAGAGAGGAGGTTGACGTACTTTGTTATCTTAGCAAGTCTTTCATCTCTCCTCAGAAAGATAAAACAGTAGTGCAAACTATTCAGAATGATCAATCATACAGCCAACTAATAAGGAGTTTGGCACTTGGAAGACTACAAAGGTGAATTGTGTTGTGGGCAATGCCATATCTAGGGTTAAGGAAAAATAAATGGACCACAGATGTGACAAAAGTGAAAGGCATAGGATCCAATAACGTAACTGTTCATTTGAAGGACAGTTGGGAGGCTGCTAGAGACATGGGTAGTCAACACACAATTTTTCAAGAGGGCATCTCTGACAAGGTCAGTGGCTGAAATAAGAACGTGATTAGGTAATAATCACTTGGCAAAAAGGCTATTGTTTCTGAAAAGAAACCCCAGAGCCAATTTCATGTCTCTATTCCTTAGGCTGTAGATGAAGGGGTTCAACATGGGGGTCACCACTGTATACATCAGTGAGGCAATCACGTCTCTGTCATTGGAGTTGCTCGAGGAGGAGGAAAGGTACAGTGCTATAATTGTTCCATAGAATAGAGACACAACAGAGAGGTGGGAGCCACACGTGGACAAGGCTTTGCAGATCCTTTTGTTAGAAGGGGCCCTCAGGATAGAGGCCCCAATGTGGCCATAAGAGACCAGGATACCACTCAATGGAAAAACGACAACTGCAGCCCCTGCAGTGAATACAACCAGCTCATTGAGAGACGTATTTGAGCAGGACAGCTTGAGTAGAATGGGGAGGCTGCAGAAAAAGTGGGGTATAATGTTGTCAGCACAGAAGGACACCTGGGCTAGGAGGAGCGTGTGCAGGAGGGCACTGCCACAGGAGAGAATCCAGGAACCAGCGACCAGTAGCACACACAGCCCCTCCCTCATGATGGTGGTATAGTGTAGGGGGTGACAGATGGCCACGTACCTGTCATATGCCATCACTGCAAGAAGGAGATTATCCACACACCCAAAAAGTATGTAAAAATACATCTGTGAAATACACCCTGGATAGGAGATGGATAGGTGCTGAGTCTGCATGTTTAACAGCATCTTTGGGACAGTGACAGATGAGAAGGAAACATCCGTGAGGGCCAAGTGGCTGAGGAAGAAGTACATGGGGGTGTGGAGGTGAGAGTCCAGCCTGAGGAGTAGGATGATGAGCAGGTTTCCCAGCACTGTGGTCAGGTACGTGCCCAGGAACAGAGCAAAGAACATGCCCTTTTGCTCTGGTGGGATGGGGAGCCCCAGTAGGAAGAATTCAGACACACTGCTCTGATTCTGCCTCCTCATGTTCCTTTTCTGTCTTCTGAGAATGAAGAGAAATGGGACATCAGGAACTTAGAAATACTAAGCATCACAATTCCTGTATGGTCACATACGTTCTTTCTCCAAGTGACTGTGTCATTGCACACACAAATCTCATTGCATTACTTTATCTTCAATAGAAATCAAGAATGACTCATTTTTCTTTGCTTCTTTTTTAACTCATGTGGAGACACTATGATAGACAGTAGGAGAGAGTAGTAAATAAGACATGGTCCCTTCCTTCAGGGAGCTCAGATCCTAGTGAGCAACCTCATCGAGTACTGATTAAGAGCATGATTCTGCAGCCAGACTGCTTATGTGCTTGTGTCTGATGCTCACTTATCCCAATTGTTGCTCTCTCTCCTTCCCCCTCTCTCTCTCACACACACATACACATACATGCCACTTTCAGCACTATTGGGAGGATTAAATAAGTGTATCATGTGCAAAATAAGTGCTCAACATGCAAACTCACATCATACCTGGCTATTATCAACAAGGAAGAGAGAAAATAGCCATTGTTGGTAAGGATGTGGGAAAATTGGAACCCTTGTGTATTGCTGGTAGAAATGTAAAATGGTGCAGACACTGTGGAAAACATTATGGCAGTTCCTCAAAAAGTTAAACATAGAATTACCATATGATCCAACAATTCCACTTCTTGGTATATGTTCAAAAGAACTGAAAGCAAAGTCTCAAACAGATATGTGTACACTCATTTTCAAAGTAGCATTATTCACAGTAGCCAAAAGATGGAAGCAACCCATGTCTGTTGACAGATGAATGGATAAACAAAATGTAGTATATATATATACAAGGGAATATTACCTGCCTTATAAAGGAAGGAAATCCTGACACATGCTACAACATGAGTGAATCTTGAAGACATTACGCTGAGCAAAACAAGCCAGTCAGAAAAAGACAAATACTGTATGATTGAACTTTTATGAGATTCCTCGAATACTCAAATTCATAGAGATAAAATATAGAATGGTGGTTACCAGGGGCTTGGGGAAAAGATATTGAGGCATTATTGTTATTGGGTATGGTTTTAGTTTGAGAAGATAAAAAAGTTCTGGAGGTGGATGGTGGTTATGGTTGTACAACAATGTGAATGTACTTAATGCCACAGAACTGTGCACTTAAAACTCATTGAAATGATTAATTTTATGTTACGTATATTTTACCACAATAATTTTTTTAATTTAAAAAATACATCAACAAAAGTTAATAAATTATTAACTAAAATCAGCAGTCAAAAAGAGAGTGACCAAAAAATAAAAATAAACTCATTATTTTGGCAGGATGACAGACCATAGATCACACATGAGAGATTACAGATAACAAAGGTATGAGGAGGCCATGAGGGAAGATCAAGTAGCTTCCTGAGAATGTGTGTTTACTTCTGTGGTCTGTTTCCCATATCTAGGGAAACAGAAAGGGTCCAGACGATGGCCTATGAAGATTAGTACATCCACAGCACTTGAATCATGACATTTTCAATAAATTTGACAATAAATAACTTACTTTATATCTGCCATTGTCTCTCTCTCCCCTTCCATCTCCAAAGCTTCAAAATGGCTGAGTTCTGAGCATGAGTAACATGAGAATCTGCCCAATGATGTGACCAGAGAACTGAGATATTACAGAAACTGTAGGACTGAGGAGTTATATCAGAAATCACAGTCATCTGATCAACCAGACAAAGTTCCAAAATTGACTACACCATGTTTCCCAGAGTGGAAATATAGAAATAACCGAAAGCCAATGAAGAAAATTTGGGCCCCCAGAGAAGTTCAGTGCCCTTCAAACCACAAGGACAAATAGGACAAATCTCCACCAACTTTGCATAAAGAGGACTCTAAGAGCTGCCTGTTTATGTCTAGAGCTGATACAAGAGAAGAGTCAGGCTGTGAGGCTGTTTCACCAGGTCAAATGCATACACATATTGCTATGTCACTCACTTAGCCCTCTGCTCTACACCCATCCAAGGTGAAGAGAATTAGAATGTGAGTGTGTTGTACACAACAACAGACACACAGAGTGACACAGAAATGAACAAACCCAAGGTGCTACTTTTTGGCCCTCTCTGACCTATATTCATTGTGGTTGAAAGTGTAGATATTTGCATGGATTCATACCAACTTATTTACAACTTTAAAATGAAACACTTTGTCACACACAACTTTAATTAAAAATAAACAAGAATCTTTCTACACTGTTTATGGGGACGTATAATTGTGCAGTCTCTATGGAAAACAGTATGGAGGTGCTCCAAAACATTAAAAAATAGAACTACCACATGATCTAGCAATCTCACTTCTGGGTATGTACCAGAAAGAACTGAAATCAGGATCTTGAAGAGATATCTTTATTCCCATGTTCACTGCAGTACTATTCACAATAGATATTTTATGGAAACATCCCAGATGTCCATCAACAGATGATTAGATAGAGAAAATGTGCTATAAAGATACAATGGAATACTATTCTGCCTTTACAAAGAAGGAAATTTTGTTGTTTGTGACAACATGGGTGAACCTGGAGGACATTACGCTAAGTGAAATAAGGTAGTCACAGTAGAACAAATATTGCATGATTTCACTTTTATGAGGTATCTGAGTCAAACTCATAGCAGCAGAAAATAAATGGTGGTTACTAAGGGTTAGGGGGAGGAGAAAATCTAGAGTTTTAGTCAATTGGCATAAAGTTTCAGTTATGCAAGATAAATTAGTTCTAGAGACATGCTATACAGCACAGTGTCTATAGTCAACAATACTATATTGTGCACCTAAACATTCATTAAAGTGGTAAATCACAAGTTAAGTTTTCTTACCAAACACACAAAAGAGACGAATTTTTGGAGGTGATGGATATGTCTATTACATTGATTTCTGTGATAGTTTTGCATGTGTATGCACATGTCCAAACTCATTAAATTGTCTACATTAAATATGTACAGTTTTTTGTATACCAATCACACCTCAATGAAGCTATTTAAATAAATATGCGGACACCACATCAAGTCACGCAGACAATTCACAAACCACACACACACACAAACACCACTCTACACACTAAGAATCACATGTAGTCAAACACAACACACAAATAACGTAAAAAGGAGTGACGTAATCAGGCCAATACAAGTACACACCTGTGCATTTTCAAGAGATTTCCAGCTCTCCATAGTCTATTATCAGCACTATACAATAGGACTTTCAACAATGATGGAAATGTTCTATATCTGCACTGTCCAATACAGCAGCATTAGCCTCATGTGATTATTGAGGACTTGATATACAGCTAGTGTAACCAAGGAACCAAAATTTTAATTTTAGTTACTTTTAATTTCAGGGCCACATATGGCTAGTAGATTCATACAGGTCAGGGTGTGAGTCAGGAACCCACTAAAAACACATGGTTATACAAGCAATGTAAACACACATTTTCTTTCTCTCTCCTAGTCCTAACATAAAAGCACATATGTAGGCTAAGTGTTGGTTCCCCACCTTGCTCTAATCAATGCCAATTCTTGCTGGTCCAGGCTGCTACCTGAATACTCGTCTCTTATGCCTCCATGGCCTAAGGATCTGTAGCACCTTCCATGCCTATTTACAAGTGCTAGAACAATGAGCAGGATGACCCACATTTATCAACAGGACCCATGGGAACACCACCCTAAGCTTCTGGTTAGAAAATAAGCCAGTACAGCTAATTGCCCAATTTCTTTCCTTCCTTTTGAGATGGATCCTGTGTAGGAGCCAAAGGGGTTGAACAACAGGAGACCCAGGAGTAGGTGTCCCTCACGTTAGTGGCATGTTGATCTCCCCTCTGCCTGGTCATGAGCAAGAGGAGAGGCCATGAACACCTTTGACTTCTGAAGAACACAGCAGTGGATTCTACCTCTTCATACATCACAGAAAGGCCCTGGCAGGGTAGTACCAGCCCTTGCAGATTACTGCATCACTAAGCCCAACTCTATTAGAGCACACATTCTACTGCCACTAATCATTCCATTCATAGACATACCCACAGTAGCCAAAGCAATCTTGAAAAAAACGGAAAAAACTCAAGGCATCAAATGATACCTGGAGGTATATTACAAACCTGTGGTAATCAACACAGAACATTACTGGCATGAAAACAGACATATAGACAATGGAACAGAATACAGAGCCCAGAAATAAACCCACACACATACCATCAACTAATTTTTGACAAGGAAGCCAAGCATACACAATGGGGAAAGACTAGTCTCTTCAATAAATAGTGTTGGGAATCTGGATATCCACATGCAAAATAATGAAAGTGGACCCCCAACAACGTGAAAACAGCTGTCTGTGACATCCCAACCCAGGAGCTAAAAATGTTTGCCACTCTCATTGACAACAGCAGGCCATGCAGGAGTTATTCAAGTGCATCTTGGAGTAGTTCGTGCCATGTTACTGGTACACAGGTAAGGGCGTGGACAACATGGAGCTCACCTACGTTGAGAGTAACATGCAAGGTCTGGTTTCAGAGTACCAACAGTTCAGGGGGGCATGGCTGGCCCAGGAGGAGGGCAAGTTTGAGGAAGAAGCAGAGGAGGAGATGACCTAGGCTGTCTGGTACCTAGGAGATTGCAGAAGCCATGTGAACTCCATTCACTCACAAATTGTTCTCTGACAGCCATGTCTCACTGTGTATACACTTGGTCTTGTTCCTGTTTTGACATCACGTACTGTGATTTTTGTACTTGATGAAGTTCAGTTTATCATTTTTTCTTTTATGGATCATCTAAGCAGTCTTTGCCTAACCCAAGGAAACAAAGATTTTCTCCAATTTTTTTCTAAAAGTTTTATAGTTTCAGCTATTATATTTAGGTCTTTGATACATTTTGAGTTAACTTTTGTATATGGTATGGAGCAATGGTCTAAGTTTAAGATTTTGCATAAGGATATTTAATTTCCCAACACCATATGTTGAAAAGATTACTCCCTCCC